GTAAACATTGAAGATTTTTAGCGTTTTGGCTGAGTTTGTGCTTTGGGAGTTGTCTATTGTTTCTAGTCTGTCATTATACAGCGTTCTTGTTCAGCACGCGTGCAATGACCACGCTTGGCTGACTTCCGAATGTTCACCGAGATATGATAATTTAGTATAAGAAAATAGAAGGGATTCCCGTCACGAGTTGGTTTAATTATTGGCTTGCATTAAACCTATGAAAAAATGATATTTTTTTTAATAGTAAGTAGATTTAGTGTGTAGCACTTCTTGATTTTTTTTGTCTCACTGTACCAAAATTATCATATTCGGAAGTCAGCCAAGCGCGATCATCACATTTACGCAGTATGTCTACTCCTTAGTTAGCTGCCTCTTAATTTGACAGTCCATGTGGTTAGGGATAAATAATGCCCTTCAGTCGTATAAAAGATACAATTCACCGTACTTGGGTAATTCAATACTTATTTACTTCCTGTTATTGCCGGGTAAAATTCATTCTAGGATATATTAACTTATCTTCCACTAACGTGTGTTTTGACTAAAAGCGGCTATTTTCTCTTTCGAATAGAAGAGAACATTTTTACTGATCGAGTTTCCATTCCTCATAAGTAAACTAAAGTGCGAACTAAAGCGTAGAAGGACTGATTTTCAGTGGCACCCACATCAGACCTTGGGTGTCATGCAAACTTTAAAAATCCCCCTTGCTCTGACTGACAAGGTAAACGTAGTAAGTTATTGTTCAGCCGTCGCAAACCAAAATATAATGATTTATCTATTGTAAAAAATTTCAGAAGCAATGATGTTTTACTGTCTTGAACGCACGTTAATTTTAGTTTAAGAATGTAAGTTCAAGGAGCGGCGGAAAAGTTTGAACGTTCTGCTTGTTCATTTGAACGCACTATTTGCATTTTGCTTTCGCGCAAACGTCTCGCATGGCGAACGTCGAGATTAATGATTTTGTAACTCCTTTTAAACATTCTTCACGGTTTAATCTAGATTTTACTACCATTAAAATCTCGAAAAAGCTTTTATTCTATACGATACATGTTTTTGTTTTACCAAAAAATACTACCGGCCGAACGGATATAACAAAAAATGTAATCAAAATTTCATTTGATTTCCTTAACTTTACCAAGGCAGTTACGATCTATCTATTTCTATCGATCTGAGTTATTTATTTAGTATCACTTTCTGGTACAAGTTCACCTGTTTTCGCTTATTTTCCCTTAGAATGGAAGAAAGTTAAGCTTCTTTATAAAGGATAACAACTCTCTTTATAATAATTCACTTATAAATGACAGCTGAGTCTCAGACATTGTTACTAAAGATAGGAAGATAGTTTTTTTCTAGAAAAGAGAAAATATGCCCGTCAATCGCACTTTAATATGTCGTTAAAGGAGAACATACGTCACTTCAAATCAAGATTTGTTATCTTATTACGTTGCAACTTCGGCTTACTTAATGAGGAACACGATCGCGAAAAGAGAAAATATGCCCGTCAATTGCACTTTAATATGTCATTAAAGGAGAACATACGTCACTTCAAATCAAGATTTGTTATCTTATTACGTTGCAACTTCGGCTTACTTAATGAGGGACACGATTGACCAAAGTTTCACTAGTTTACCCATCGTTTTATAAAGTAATAAAGTACAACGCCCTCTTTAGTTTTGTTGATGATATATTTCCCCTTAAAAGACTCTCTGTGGGTGATTATTTCAGTATCCATGGACAACCGAATGACTGATTAAAACGTGTGAGAAACTCTAGCCAAATATCGCTGGATATTTGCAATTCAGATTCAGTGCAAACTGTCTTCTATCGAAAGAAATAAACATAGGCAAATGAAATATATATTCCTTAAAATTAATGACTCACTTTCTGATGTAACTGCGTTTTTCTGGTAATCAAACTTCCTATCTTTTACAGCGGTTATTTTTCCATCTTTCAGCGAATGTGAGAAATAAAAGAAAGCTGCAAGGTTATATCTTGGTTTCCTTAGCAAAGTGTTTTATCATGTTTGAAAAAAGAGTAAACAATAATTGTTTCGTTCGCAGTACAACTCACGTTTGTCAACAAATTGAGGTCACCCCGGAATATATTCCAAATTTTAAGCGTTTAAATTGCAGTTCGACCCTTTGCATTCTGGAAAATAAACAGAAACTAATTTCAATCTGATCTTTCGGGAAAAAGCATGTATATTAAATGACATAGTAGACTTTCGCATTGGAAGAGTCAGTGTAATTTAAGTCATTGATTTGCGCTTTTAATGCCGCATGAAACGAACAGAGATAAACCCTTTTAGGCCCTCTCTTTTGCCCTCATGTTTTCGAGACAACTACTACAACTCTTGGCCTGGCTCTGTATAAGTGATCATGAATTCATATTTGGGTGAAATGTGCTGACCGCTCTAGGTGGTTAGAAAATTCAAGGACCCCTTATTGCTAGAATCACCAGCATATGGCAGACAAATTCTAGTTAGCCGAACTTCAAAACCAAAAGGCCTTAAGTAGGCACAGTTTCAATAAATAAACCAAGAAACTGGACTTCTGCCTTAAAGCACAAACAGAGCTCTTCGACATTGAAAAAAGCCGCACAGTCTAATCTTCTAGTGAGGCACACCAGCCGCAATTTTAAATGCGAAATAGCGAATCTTGCATGTAAACAGATACATTAGCCTTACTTTTGTATTGTACACACGAGTTTTCGGAACATTTTGGGAATCACTGTGTTTAAAGAGTGGCAAAATGTAAGTTAAATGATCATAAGATCATACACTCACTTGGAAATCACGTTTACTGCCCTTGTCCATTGCACAAAAGCTGTTTTAGTATGGTAGCTTGCTCGGCGGACCGACAGCACAAGATGATCTTGAGTTCTGATAGAAATCACAGGATACTACGCTCTTGTCTACCAAACTATTATTGGTTCCGTTCAAAACAGCTCGAAAAACTGCGACTGAATTTGATACTTCCTCTGCGATTGCTGTTCATCTCAAGCCATCTTTGCAAATCAGGGAGGGATTCGATACCTCATTTGCAAGTGATTATGGAAGGACGAATGTGATTGGCTGCACAAGGGAAACATTCAAATCGGAATGAAAGCATTCGATT